AATAAATTAAAGCAATTACTGCTGCAGCTCGTCTGGCTGTTAATGAGCTGCAAGGAGCGGCTGAGAGCTCCCGACGCGTCCCAAAAGCTGGAAATGTCAGCATTGCTCTTAAATACAGCGCTGCGAAGGCTGCCAGGTGCTGGAGCCCTCCAGGGCCACGGGCTGGTGGCTGGAAAGGGAGTGTGGTGCTGTGGGGAAGGGGAATAGGGTGCTCTGGGGTGGGAGAGCTGGCTCTGCAGGATGGATGCTCCCAGGCTGTGCCAGGCTGTGCCATGTTCTCCTGCCAGTGCTTCCCCCGGCCTAGAGAGCCCCCCGGGTCCCTCGGTCCCTCTGTGGGGGCCAGCTGAACCCCTCCACCACAGGGACCCGAAGCTGTGTGTGGTGGGGTGCAGGATGGGGTCCAGGGCCAGGGGTGCAGGGTAGGGATGGAGGTTGGGGTGCATGGGCAGGGGTACATGGCCAAGGGTGCAGGCAGGGATGCGTGTTGGGGTGCAGAGCCAGGGTGCAAGGCTGGGGATAGAGGCTGGGGTGCAGGGCAGGGTAGAGGTGTAGGATGGGGTGAAGGGCAGGGATACATGCAGGATGGTGTTGGGGTGCAGGTTGGTGTGCGGAGGCAGGGGTGCGGGGCAGAGGTGCAAGCTGGGGTGAAGGGGTTGGGGTGCGTGAGGCAGGGGTGCGTATGGGGGTGCGGGTCGGGATTCGTGCCGGGGTGCGGGCACCATCCGCGGCCCGCGACAGCCATCTTGTGGTCCGGTGCGGCCGAGGCCAGCCCGGCCCCGCTCTACCGGGGCAGCTCCCGAGGACCGGCGGGGGACGGAACCGGGACCGGGATGGGAACGTGCCCCTGTAGGGTTTGCAGCTCCAGCTGCTCCTCCCCGCAGCGGCCAGTCCCGGGGGGTGTCGGTGGGCACAGCCGGTCTCCCCCAACCCAGCTGCCTCCCTCCGTAGCCCGCAGCAACGAGGGGGTGCGTGTGCCGGGCACAGGGGGATGGACATGGACACGGACACACACACAGAGCAACGGGGCGCTTCCCCTCCGCCCCCCCAAGCTGATCCAGGGTGTCTGCAGAAGCCGGGGTGATGGCTGGGCAGTGGGGGACCATGTGGTCTCTTCTCCCAAGTCACAGGTGACAGGACTAAAGGAAATGGCCTCAAGTTACGCCAGGGGAGGTTCAGGCTGGATATTAGGAAAAGTTTTTTCACTGAAAGGGTCATCAGCCATTGGAATGGGCTGCCGAGGGAGGTAGTTGAGGCACCATCCCTGAAGGTGTTCAAAAGCCAGGTTGATGTAGTGCTGGGAGGTATGGTTTAGTGATGGTGATGCTTCTTGTTTGTTGTGTGGGTGTCTATTTTTGTCAGTTAGGTTGACGGTTGGACAAGATGATCTTTGAGGTCCCTTCCAACCTAGAAGATTCTGTGATTCTGTGTGGCTTGTGTAAGTGGGAATTGCATGGATATGAGCACAGCACTTGTGCAAGCAGGATGTGCGTGCAAGGCAGCAACGTGAGTGCATGAGTCGTGAGGGAGGTGCTCATGCAAGCAGGAGGCAGGTGCAGGGTCCTGTTGTGAGCAGGATGCTTGTGCAATGGGATGTGTGTGAAGGGCACGGGTGCAAGCACAGCGCTTGTGTGAGTGGGACGAGTGTGTGGGGCACTGATGTGAGCACATTGCTTGGGCAGGTGGGGTGCAAATGCAGGGCACGGACATGAGCTGGTGTGTTTGTGCAAGCAGGGTGTGTGTGCAAGGCACTGTGGCAAACTAGCAGCGCACACATGCAAGGCACTGGTGCAAGCACGTGAGTGGTACACATGTGCTGGGCACACACGTGAGTGCGTGAGCAGGCTGTGTGTGCAGAACACGACTGTGAACACGAGTGGGGTGTGCGCACAGGGCACCAGTGTGAGTGTGTGAGTGTGCCAGGCACCACTGCTGCAACCTACGAGCGAGCAGGGCCTGGCTGCACCACGAGTGCGTGCAGAGCGTCATTGCAAGCGTGCAGGGCCCCGCTGCAGCACCCGGGGCCGCAGCCTGCAGGTGTCCCTGTTTCCTGCAAAACTCGGATTGGGGCGGGCGGCAGCAGCAGCTGGGGCACAGCGGGGTCCCTGCCCGGACCCCCAACCCTGCCCAAATGCCCGCCTCCAGTGCCCTCCCTGGGCCTGGCCCCAGTGTTCCTCGGCTCCTGCAGCCTGGGAGAAACCCAGCCAAAGGCCCCAGTGGCACGTGGTCCCTGAGGATTTGGGGACAGGCCCAAGTGGTCCCAGGGGGTGCAGACCCCCACAGCAGCGGAATGCCCCCGGCCTGCTCAGCTGAGCCCCTCGCTGGCAGCGGTGGTGGGTCGTGGGGGGGGGGGCGGCAGGAGGGATCCCTGGTGCTCCACGGCAAGGAGCCATGGGGGGGCCATGTCCCCCCTTCCCCAGCTCCGGCTCTTGCCCTGTGCTGCAGCTTCCTTGAGTGCAGCCTGAAGAGCCATCGAGCGCTCGCCTGCCATGAAGTGCCAATTCTGGCACCAGCTGCACCACGGCGCTGGGCCAGATGCCGAGGGGTGGCCGTACCCACAGCCTCCGCTCCCGCTGGGGACAGCTCTGGCCCCCAGCAGGTTACAGCCACCCTGGGGGGATGCCTTGGCTGCGGACGGGCACCCCCACTCAGGCAGGGGGAGCTCCATGGCAGATCCCCAGCACACTCCGGTATCTTATGGCCACCAGACCCAGGCTGACCGCAATGGCAGCCCGTATCTCGTGGGAATCTGGCACATCCCCAGGGGGGTTGTGGGGATGAGGTGACCCCAAACACGTGCCAATTGCCTGGGGTGCACCACACTGGGTGCCACCACCCTCCTGCACCCATCGGCTGCAGGAGGGCCCTGGCAAGCAGTGGCTGCCCACCGTGGGCAGGGGCTGCCAGTTTGCCCTCGGCATGGCACCCAGTGCCAACCGTGCCATGGTTGCCGCTCATCGAACGCTCCCACTCACCCCGGGCTGCTCTGGCGCCCGCCGCTGTTGTACGCGGTGCAGGCAGCCTCATTAACCTTTCTTGATTAAGGCAATTATTTCCAGCACATTATCCTCTAATCTAAACATCGTGGCTGCGCTGCTCTGGGGGTGCTGGGGGGCGGGAGTTGGCACACGCAGCCGGAGGGGCTGTGTGCTGTGGGGGATGCCGGCAGGGAAGGGACAAGGGAGTGTCCCCGGGGTCCCCAGGTGGGGTCCCCTCCCTGCCCTGCAATGTCCCAGACCTGCAGGCAGAGCCCTCTGTGCAAAGGGGTGGGATGAAATGAGAAGGGTCCTTGGGGTGACCATAGCTCATGAGAGCCCCCACCCAAGCCAATCCCCAAGGGGGGCAGCCCCCCACATCCCCCAAGGGCTAGAGGTTACCCTTGCGTGGGGCTGGGGGCTCCAGGGGGGGCTGTGGTGCTCACCCTCCTGGTAGTGTGACTGGGTCCTGCGTCCTCATGTGGGACACCCCATCCCCGTGGGATGGACCCCTCAGCTGAGGGAACTGGGGGGAGCAGGGTGGGCTGTGGGTGCACCCCAGGAGCTGCTGCTTGTGTCAGGGGTGATAAATATTTATGGGTGTCAAGGCAGATGCTCTTACCCAGGTCCAAGTAGTGGCTCCGTAAGGAAAACAGGTGCAAGTGGGCAGGACTTGGTGGGTGTGCATGTGTCCCTACCATGTGTGTCTACTGCGTGTGCATGTCCCCATGGTGTGGCTGCAATTTTGGGGTACCCTCCCCACCTCCCCATGCCAGATCCCAGCAAGGGCGGAGCCCCCTGCCCACCCTACTTTGCCCAGGGTGCCTGGGTAGGGGAAGGCCCCTGTTTTAGCCCCCTCTGAGCCCCTTCCAGCCGTCTGTGCCAACATTCACAGCAACGTTTTTGGAGAAGGGGGCTGTGTCCCCCAGCCCACCCTGGTTTTAGGGCCATGGGCAGTGCTGCCACAGGCACTGGCTGGTGACTGGGAGAGCACCTCTGGGTGTCCCCTCGCCCATAGGGTTCAGAGCAGGCTAGAGAGGGAGCTGGCATCTGTCGGGAATCCCAGACTCATCTGCACTACACTGGTCCCAGCCATAGGGGTGTCCCAGCCCGTTTGACCATGTGGCAGCACCAGCAGGTGTTTGTTCATTCCCCTGCCATGTAATGAGCTGCAAGGCCTCAGCTGCCTTCACGGGGGTCCCTGCAAGTGTGCTGCCCACCTGGGCAGGGTTGGGTGGTGGCAGTGGGGGGCACAGAGACTCCCCACTCCTGCCCAGTCAGGGTGCTGGGGTTACAACTTAAGGAGTGGGATGCATCTCCTGTCATTCCCATGGGCAGGCAGGTGCTGGGGTGCTGGAGGGGGTGGGGAGCCTGCTCCCACTGGGGCACCCCAAATTTGCATCACCACCCTTGCCGAGCATGGCCTGGCTGGGGTGATCCAGCTGCACCTAGCCCAGCTGTCCCAAACTGGGAAGGACCCTGTCCCAAGGCAGTCAGCCCCCAACCCCTGCACTGGGTGCACCCCAGGATGAAGGGCCAGGGGTCCCGGTAACCCACCCCGTGGGGCCACCCCAGCTCCCACCCAGTGAGTGGCAGGCGGTTGCAAGGGGCAGGAGGGGGACACAACTGGGGGTCTGACCCCACAGGCTGTGGGGGCGGGGGGCAGCTGCCCGGGTGTCCCACGGGTCCAGCGTGGGAGTAAAAAACCCGCCTTTCCGGGATTCCGGCAATGGGAACGAGCTGGGGGGCCGAGGCAGCATCAATTGTTTCCAGCTGGGGTGGGCTGGGCTGGGACCACTGCTGGCACCCCAAGCTGCCCAGGGTGCAGGGGCAGGGCCCTGGGGGCCATGGGGCAGAGGGTGGGTGCTGCCAGCCTGCTGCTGGGAGGGGGGAGTGGATGAAGCAGCCCCATCCCCTCTCCCTGAGGCTGTCCCACTCATTCCTGCTGCTGCAGGGCCGGTGTCACTATCCCTGAGGGTGTCCCCATGTGTCACTCCCTCCCCACTCACAGATCCCCGGAGCCAGTGCCCTTCTACAAGGCTTTTTATTTCCATGTCAGAAAGGCCCCCCACTCTGAGGGACCCCAGCATCGCTGTCCTGCGCCAGCACCATGAGGGGACCAGGACCCTGGGGGGGAGTGTCACCCTGCACCCAAAGGTGGGTGGGGGGCTGCCCCCGGCCCTGGGACCTCCATGGTCACCCCAAGCAGGAGCTGGGGACATCAGCCAAGGACCCAGCACTAAGCGAGGGGCAACGGGGGCTGCACAGGGGCAGCACGTGCTGACACCAAGAAGGGCACAGTGGTGTCACCATCGCTGTGGCACACAGGGGCACAAGACACAGCGGGGGACATGGGCCACTCTCACAGGTGGGATGCCGGTGGGTGGGGGAGTGTTGGGGTGGTTTTTTTCCCTTTTTCTTTATTTACAAAATTCCCAATCCCCAGCCGCTCCCGCCTGGCTGGGAGGACAGGGAAACCCCCGGCGGGGGGAGGCAGGCCCCAGGGCCGGGGGTCTCCTGCCTGCCCTGTCAGAGCCCCTGCCTGCTGGCTCGCCTGCTGCTAAAAATAATAATAATAATATTATATTAATAATAATAGTGATAATAATGAGAAAAGAGCTGCGGTTGTGTCCTGGAGCAGCCAGCCCTGGCAGCTGACGGGGTCGGGAACTGTGCCATCCCTGTGCCGGGGGCTCGGGTCGGTGGGCCGGGGCAGCCCAGATCCCCCCGCCCGGGTGGCGCCGAGGCCCCGATCCTTGGCGGGGGCGCGGATGCAGGCAGAGATCCGGCTTCGGCCACCGGGGAGCTGCGGGTGGGCGGCTCCAGATGTGGAGCTGCACATCTGGGGAGAGAGTGCTGGCCACAGTGGTGAGAGAGCCGGGAAGTGTGGGGGGAAGCTGGGCCCCACTGGAGTAGCCCTCCCACCCCCGAGTATTCATCCTGCCCAGGAACATCCCTCCCCATCCCGCCCTGGAGCATCCATCCCACCCCGGACCATCCCTCCTGTCTCAGAGCATCCATCCTGCCCTGGAACATCCTCCCATCCTTCCCCACAGCATCCTTCCTGCCCTGGAGCATCCATCCCTCCCACCCCAGAGCATCCGTCCCTTCTACCCCTGAGCATCCTGCCCACGGCTTCCGCTGCCCACACAACCGCAAGTCTCTCAGCATCTTTCTGAGGTTAAACCCAGAGCGTTTGGGTCATTCCCAGCGGCTCCCCCCGAGGCCCCTCTCTGGCCTCAGGAGGGGTTGCCCGCTGAGCTGAGCCATGCCAGGCCACTCTGCTGGTGGTCCTGGCCAAGGTGACTCCCCTGTGAGGGAGCTGATCTCCATGGGGCTGGTCTGGGGCAGCCGCAGGGCAGCGGGGTGGCAGGTCCCGGAGCCCTGTGTGCCCTGATCCTCACGGGAGCCCCTGGGAGCGGGTTGGAGGGGCTGGCACTGCTGGGCTGCGAGGCCATGATCAGTCCCAGTCCATGTCGCAGCTCCGGAGCCATCCTGGCTCACATGGGTGGCATGAGGCGGCCGGGCACAGCTGCAAGGGAAGGTTAGAGGTGGGCACTGGGAGGCAGGGGGTCCTTGCCCTCCTTGGCCCCACTGCCCCTGCCTGTCCCAGCAGGACAGGGGTTCTGCAGCCAACACATCCCAGGACCTACTGTGCTTAGGAATAGGCCAGTCCCTGGAGCGGCCGCGCAGGCGTGTGGAACTTGTCCGAGTCCTCGAAAGCCGGGTCTGGGTGGCAGGGAGGGAGGGAAAGAGAGGGTGAGCCAAGGCAGGAGAGCGGTGGGCACGGAGGGACAGGGGCGAGGGTGGCATGGTGCACCCCCTCCCTGCAGTGTGGCCCCAGCCATGCCCCAGGTGCAGGGAGGTGTGGAGTCAAGGTAGGGGTGCAGGCAAGTGCCCTGCAGGCGCCATGGTGGGCATGGTGCCACCGGGACCCCCCTTCCGTCGGGCAAGGGGGATGTGGGGGTGGGCTGGGGTGGGCAGGTGAGGGCAGCCCTGCCTGCGCTGGGCTCACCTTGCAGGCTGCTGCCGCTGGTGCTGGCGCAGGCGGGCGGCGGGGAGGTCTGCGGCCGCACCACGGGGGCGAAGGCGCTTTTCTGCTTCACCGCTGAGATCATGTTGACGGGCGAGAAGGAGAAGACCCCGGTGGGGGTGGAGGCATTGGTGCCTGACGGGAGGGTGATGGAGGAGGCACCCAGCGGGGGGCTGGCAGGCATGACTGCGGGGAGAGACCCACTCAGGCCAGGCAAGAGCAGGCAACAGGGCATCGCTCCCCGGTGCGGGATGCCAGCACACCCCGGTGACACAGCATGGGAACCAGCTTACAAGGGTTAGGGCTGAGGCTGGGGCTTTCTCAGCTCAGGTCCCCGTGTTCCTGCTCCCCCTTGCCCCTGCAGCCAGCTTTGGGGACACCCTGGGGCAGGTGCATGACTCTGGGGACACACTAGGGCTACTGAATGGCTTTGGGGACATGCCAGGGCTAGTGCAGAGCTTTGGGGATGCCTTGGGGATGCTGCCTGCTTTTGGGGGGTGCCTTGGGATTGATGCGTGGCTTTGGGGACACCCCAGGGTGACTCACTGGCATAGGGGGAGTTGGCGGTGGAGCCGTTGAGGAAGCTGGGGGAGCCGGGCACCCCCAGGCCAGCCATGGTGCCACCACCGTAGCCGTTGATGCCGGCGGCACCGCTGTAGCTGCTCTGCTGCGGCGTGGAGCTGGGCACGTAGCCCCGTGGTGAGACGCTGCCCGTGTTTCGGGAGTAGCCTGTGGGCGACAGGGGCCGGGGGTGGCACAGGGCAGGCAGGGACCCCCTCCTGCTGCCCGGCGCGGCCCCCGGCCCACCTTGCTCGGTGCCCTGCGGCGAGTCACCGATGTTGACGGCCAGCTGGCTGCCGAAGGAGTTCACCCCCATCATGCTGGCGGGGCCGTGGGTGCCGGCCAGCGAGGAGAGCTGGCTGGGGTTGCGGGGGACGCTGTACAGCGCCTCGGCGATGTCTGCCGCTCGCTTCAGGATGATGTCCTGGGATGGGGTGGGGGGGGATGACACAAATGGGGATGGTATAACTTCGTGGCATGCAGAGCCTGGAGTGACCCCATGGCTATGGCGGGCAGTGACGGGGCAGGGGAGGGCTGAGACCGCCCCAGCTCATGTCACCTTCCAGGGCACCCACAGCCCCAGTGGTCCTCAGGGCACAGGACGGGCTGTGCCAGGCAGTGATGGGACAGGGGAGGCTGAGACCCCCCCAGCTCGTGCCGCTGGCTGGGAAGGACGTGGGAACAAAGGCGGCTTTGGAGGCACCAGCCCCACAGCCTGACCCGGTGGCTCCCCTTCCTCTGCAGGTGGGGGCC